ATAATTCCTGGGGGACACAGGCTCCAGTGAATGTCCACCACATGCTGCCCCGCCAGGAGGATCATGTCTCACCATGATCTCAGTTTCTTCCTTTTCAGTATCTGCCAGGTTGGTTTTTTTTTTTTTTTTCAGATCATGTTATTTATGCAAAAAAATCATTTTAGCTGATGTAGAAAATGGCATGAAAGTATCTTGACTCACACAACACCTCATCCTAGAGTGCTCTGAAAATCTGTCCCAGAGATTGCTCAGGTAGCAGTAGCCATGAGCTGAGTGAGCCATGAGTTTGGCTCATTGCTGAAGGGCTGTTTCTCAATCCCTGAGCCAGGTGTAAGCTGGAGAGCTTGGGAAACTCTCCTGGCCTTGCTCTGGACTCACAGCCATGTCACTGAGACCATGGCTCTGGTGTTATGCACATGGCACTTCTGGAGTACAAGCCTTTTTAGTGCTACAAGATATCGCTGGTTATTTAGTATTTTATTCATTTTATTTTATTTTTTTGTTGTTGGCGTGGAAAAAAGACTATTTCCACTGACACCATGACCTTACCTGTACCATTCTCTCAAACATGTGTGCTAAAGGCAAATAGGAAATGTGTACATCCTCACAAGTAGGAGACCACTGACTCTGGAAGAAAACACAAGGAGCCCCACGAGGCCTCGTCAGTTCAGGCAGTTTCTTACCTGTATAACTCTTTCAAACATGTGAGCCAGAGGCAGGAAGGAGATGAGCACATCGTCCTGTCTCGGAAAGATCACTTTCTGCAGGTGGAGGGCATGGGAGACAGAAAGGAAAGAAACACTGACAGGAAGACAACAAGAAAGTCATAAAATAATAAAAAGAAAAATGGCACCAGAGGAGCAAAAGGGTAAAGATTGTCAAGAGAGGAGGGAGCGGCGGACACAGGGAAGCGTTAAAGCCACAGCATCATGGAGCTCAGTTAGCAGGAGGAGTAAAGAGCACGGAGATGTACACACAGGGCAATGCAGAGGGCTCTCCTTGGCAGAAGGCAGATTGTACCCACGCAGCTCTCGCTGGCAATGGAGGCTCACCCTGATGGAGAATCCCATTTTTATTCACTGCTTTCTACCAGGAGGTGCCGAGACCCTGATCTGTGCTCTCAGCTGTGCCAGGCAGCAGGATCCTGGTGCAAACCTGCAGGAGCCCCCAGGATCCCAGTGCTAACCTGCAGGAGCCCCCTGGACACCAGCAGGGCTCTGCAGGAGCAGCACTTTCCCACATTGCATCCAGCCCATTCCAAAAATCACAGTGTTACTAGAGTCAAAATTAGCCAGTTTTTCCATTTCCTTGGGTTAATCATTGGTTTGAATCAATGTGTTGGAAAACTAATGATTTAATCTTAGGCTTCAAAATTACTTCTGTTAGTGTTTCTCATCATTTTAAATGATTAAAATATTATTTTAAGGGCATTATGACTGTCCCACAGATGAGAAAGAAGAAGGGAATAGGGGAAGAAAAGTGACCAAAGTCTTAATTTTTCCAAGTTTTTAACTCTCTCTTGAAGGCTGGAATAAACAAAGGCCTCAAGAGCTTTACCTAATCCATTCCCCAAAAGAAAATAACCTTTCTACCTGCATTTCCTAGGGAACAGCTTGCTGTGATATTATGGATTAGAAAAACTGAAAGGTTGACTACACAATAATTTGCATCAAGGCCAGTGGTTAGTGGAAAATGGGTATAAAAATCTATCAGCTCACAGTGTTAACAGTTTATACCCACTTGCACCTCCACTGCTCAGAAGGAATCAATAGCCCATGACCTGGGATACAGTGGAGGCAGACACAGGAGTTCATGCCTCAGGGGATATTTTATTGAAGTTAAATCTGGGCTGGTCAGATTTGGGTATGGCTTCCCAGCCATCACCTACCAAAGTCAAACATCATTGACCATGGGGTGTTCTCAGCATCCCATTTCATATTATTGTGTCTGTCAGTCTCACTGAAGCCATTAGGGCCTGCAGATCTATTTATACATTATTTCAATTTGGCTTCATTTTCTGCAAGCACAGTAATGCAAAACCTTTAATATCAACCAGGTTTGTTCTTTTATTACTGCTGTAAAAGCCCAGACAAAATAATCTGGTTTTAAATCAGAACAAAATTATGCTATTGAATAGCATTTCACAGTTGGCACAGTTAAATATAAAAATGCAAAGAGCTTCTTGCTATTTGAGAACAACCTTATAAAGCTTTGGTTTGTAAAAATCACTGAACTAAGCAAAACTGCCACAAGAACTTGTAAACAACAAACCCACAGAACTTCTCATTTTGTTTCCTTAATTTATACTACTTTCAAATGTTTCACACTTTATTTCATTATCATGGTCAGACATTACCCAAATCTTGTGGATCAGCTACAGGCATTTACCCTCTGCTAGAATACTCTGGTGACTGGAGATAAATTTACAATCATACCAGACTTGAGTCTCAATCTGATACCTTTGAGATTAATCAGGGTCCCACTCCATCAGCAAATACTAAGCTCATTTAGTGGACCAGTTCTGGAAAATGCCAAGTTCCCTCAGCTCTAAATTAGCACTGTTCCAAAATAAATGCCTGCCCATAGAAGCTCAGGCCTCTCCACACCTCAGCTCCCATTTGTGCCTCTTGCTGCCACTGAAGCTCCATGCTGAGGAGCCCTCACTGGCAATTTGTGCTGCACACTGTGGAGGCACAGTCCTGCAAACACTGGCACATGTGAGTTCAGTGGCATTTCTTACATCACATGTTGCACTTTCTTTACACCAGTGGTCCGGAAATCTCAGAAAATTCCAGGATTAAAGTAAAAAACTTCAGTAATTTCAACATCAACAATAAGACCAGTAAGGGGTATGAGATAACCAATTTTCCATCCTATGTAATTGTAATTATTTTATAGAATTCCTGTTCACTACCAGAAATTATTTAGATTTGTTTTATATAAGATGTATAAAATCCTTACTATGTCATGGTCAACTGATTTCGCTTCCTATATTGTTTCTAAACATGAGTTTACAGTTGTGTGAAACATATTATAAAGGCACTTGGCCAGCACTCTGCTGTGCTCTGTTAGAAATATGTATAACAAAAACTGAAATATACTGGAATATCAGTGAAATTAACCATTAACCATTCTGGTAAAAAATCATGTATGTTCTTAAAAATATATATATTTATACACACATACTTTGTATGCAGAGAGGTTTCAAATAAATAGTGACATTTTTGGGCACAATGAGACACACAGAGCACAAGAGGAGCTTGAACTCCTCTTCAAGCACCAGTTGCAGCTGTACAGGGCTTGTGTGCTCTCCTAATTCTTCAAAAAGAGCTAATGAATTGATTTACAGAAGTCAGCATTGTTTCTCAGAAGCCCTTCGTGCCCTACACAGCCTGGGAGCCAGAGCTGCAAAGAGGATTTAATGCCCTTCAGTACTGTAGATTCAGCCTTGCTCCATTCCCATGGATTTGGCCCTCTGAGCAGGAAAAATGTCATCTTTTATCTGCAAGAGCATCCTTCCAGCCCATGCAGGGCCACAGCTCAACCCACACCCCCTGCGCATGGCAATGTTTTCTAGCTCAGGGTAATCACCTCTGTCACTTTCAAAAAGCCTGAAAAATCCGCCACCACGTTTCCATGGGTCAGCATAGCACCTTTGGGATTTCCTGAAAGGAAACAGAGAGGTAGTTTAAAAGATAAGCCAGAAGGTAACTTGCAAAAACTGAGCAAAAAAACAAAGCAAGAAAATTTTAAAATATTATGTTCACTTCTTCAGTTTTAAAACACAGTAATTTTCACCATCATTTCTGTGCACTAATACACACCAAAAACACTTCAATACTCAAAACTTAATAAAATGATACTGCAAACAGAAATATTTCTCTTGGAGACTTTGGAAAACAGGTTCCAGCAATAAATAGTCTAACTGCAATTTCTGAGAGTGCTCAGATGGAGCCACTCAATGAGACAGCCATCAGACTTGGCTGGCTGTTCCAGCCTCTCTTGGGAGGATTTATTTCATCCAGATTTTGACTAAGAATGATCTTGAACACCAAGAGATACTGTTTAAAAGGCTGTTATACTCTTGCTTAACCAGTATTCTGGATAACATGAGAAATACAGAGAAGTGCAGGTAAAAATTAGGCTACAAGACCCTTTGAGACTACAATTAAGGGAAGTATGAATGAATGAATGAATAATATCAGCAGCAGAGGTGCTAAACAGCCCTAAATCAATCAGGAACCCAGCAGAGCCCCTGTGCTGTGTTCCAGAGCTGGGCACTGCCCCTGCAGCATTTCATCCACCTCCAATAGGCACCTCAGCACCACCAATACTTGCCTTTTTACACTCCTTTTACACCATGGTCAGCTGACCATGGTGCACCTCTTGCATTTCACATCTTTTGGACACAAAAACAATGTTTGTTAAGCAAATCCACAGGCTGGAACCTCCATGTTCACAAAAAAGAGACATGGAGGGCTCTGCACATCCTCCTATCACAGCACTGTCCCTTTTCATCACCTTCCAAGGCTTTACTTGTGAAAATAAGGTGTAGCTCAGCTCAAATAAAGATTATGGGGCCAGCCTCTTTCTCTGCAACATGTTTTTAAGCAGATTGTTTTAATTCCATCACACCACTGCCACGTAGCTCCTGCTGCTCTGTGCGAAGGCAGATCAGGGGAGCTTTACCTGCAGGTGCCCAGAGTGTCCCCAGAACAGTGGGCACGAGCAGCCTGGCAAAGCTCCTCCAGTTAATGCAACAAAATGGTAAACCAGCCAGAATTTCATTCTGCCTTCCTCAGATTAGGAAGAGACTGCGGTGCTTTGTGAATATGTTTCAGCACAGGAAAGTATGTTTAATCCTCTCATTTCAGAGCAGTTTGAGGGCTGTGCTGCTAGCATGGGCACAGACATGGGCACACTCAGCACTGAGCCCTGCCAGCACCACCACCAGCACTCCTACTCAGCCTCCCAAGGAATTAAAGGCAGGCACAAACAGCAATTGTTGCATACATTTATTGCAGTAGAGTAGGATATTTTTAACACAATGTATTATACTGAAAATTCCTATTTGCTGCTCCAAGTGCCTTGAGTAATTCAGTCCCAAACACTTGCAGATGAAGATGGAGCACAGGAGGTTGGTTTGGTCCCATCTGAAGCTCAGGGGTGAAGCTGGCAGCTTTGCCAGCCATGGCTGCTCCCATGCCAACATGCTGAACCAGGCTCACAGGTGCCAAGGTTATTTTCAGCTGGGGGCACACATGGGTCCAGGCTCCAAGAAACATCCATGAACAAGTGTCAGCTGTGCATACACACCACAACTCCAGAATCACTTGTGTTACTGAGGTGTGTCCAGCCCAACACTGGTGCTCAGCCCCTGCAGTTCTAGAAGCAGCTGTGCTCCTGCAGTGTCACAGTGGAGAGGATGTGCTCAGTACTGGTTTGGAAACTCAGAACTGTGCCCTCTGGCACACATCTGGTCCCTGCACCTTGAAAAAATTCTTCAGATGTTTTTTGGAGGATTTCAAGTGTTTAGTGCCAGGCTGGGTGGGGCTTGGAGCAAACAGGTCTAGGTGAAAGGGTCCCTTGCTGTGGCTGGGAATTGGAACTAGACATGCTGTGAAGGTCTCTTCCAAGCCAAACTATTCTGTGATTCTATGAGATTTCTCAGATGTTTGACTCATTTACTCACACCACCTCTGACTTGAATGCAGATCCAGTACCTCTGCTATGCCTGGAAACAGTGTTATCATCCTGACTCCTTCTTCTACATCCCTCTTCTCACACAGGCTCAACACCCTGGACAGGCTGCAATGATGATGGTGTCTAAGCAGAGCAGCAGTGCTGGAGCCAGGAGAGCCTTCATCAGGAGAAATCCAGAACAAACCATGCTGTTATGGGACAGCTGCAGCTTTTTGAGTTGGGGAACTCCTGCAAGCTTTAACCTTCCTTAGTAGTTTTAAGAGTTAACCTAGCAAAAATAGGTGCTCCTTTCTATGAGCTCTTTCCCAGAATCACCACTTGAGAGAGGAGGGTTGGCAGGGATGCTGCTCTTGTATTTAAAAAAATCAATGCCATTTCTGTAACACTGCTCTTGTTTGAATTTCCTCACAAAGACAGGCCCAGTGAGTGTCCTGTTACAGAATGGATACTTTGCAATCCATCAATAACCCAGGAATGTCAAGGCCTCCTTATCTTGGTGCCAGGCTTGTTTGATAGTTCTCATAAGCAATAGCAGAACTTTTAAAAGAATAGAAGATCCTTTTCCACATTGCCAAAAGGGTCTTTCAAGTGCTCCAGCACAAATGTGATGGTGTGATCCATCAGTGTTCTGGGATGCAAGCACTTTCCTCCCCTGGGAAGCTCTGGCAAAAAGGAACATGCACTGGCCATGCTGGGAGAAACCACTGGGAAGCAATTTTTATCCACCTGATCAGTGGATCCTTGAGGGAATGACAGTTGATTGATTTCTCTGGAGTAGCCAACATGAAAAATTGTATCCTGACAGTTTGGGGATATCTATATATCTTTGGCCCATTTCCAAGTGCTGATGGCTTCTTGGCACAGCCATGGAAGTTGCTCTTCTCATCCAAGATCAGTAACCTCAGCCTCTCTTTTCTCCCTGAGGAGGCATTGGGGCATCTGGTCCTGTCAAAGAAAAGCAAGTGTTGAAGTCTGCTCCTGGGGAATTCTTTGCAATTCCACAATTTTCAGGAGACAAATTCTAGAGCAGAGGTTTTTTTCACACCATACAAAAATATTTAAAGCCCTTTGGAACTGGAAAAGCCCTAGAGAATATATCCTTTGGAAGAAAATTCTAAATTTAGTCACTAAAAATTACATGGGCTATATAAAACTCTTACATCAAAGCACAATGTAGAAAACAGACCAGAGTGTTGATGCAACCTCTGGAAAAGGCAAAGAGTGATGTGCAAAGTCCTGCAGCAGCAGAGGATGGGCTCATGCATCACAAATTATTGTTATGAAATGTTCAGTTTGAGATGATTTGCAAAATTGGAAATCTCTGATTTGGATTGGAGAAGAGAAATGAACTTCCTGATTGTCCTATTTCTGTAACTCTGGCCATGCTTCTAAGAAAAGCACAAAATCGGAAACTGGCCCATGATTGCATCTGCAAATGAAAAGGAAAATCAAAAGAAACCTTCTCTATGCAGAATTTCTTATTTAGAAATAAAAATGTCAACAATAACGTGACTAGAAGAATAATTGCAGAATTTCTTATTTAGAAATAAAAATGTCAACAATAATGTGACTTGAAAAATAATTGCTCTGCACTTGAACATGCACAGAAACACACAGTGCCCTGCTGCATCCACAGCATGGCTCCTTCCATTTCCACTGCTCCCATTTGTGCCCAGCCACTTTGCACTCACTCTGTGCATGGCTGTGATGTTCATGTCCAGCACTGAGGTCAGTCCTTCCCCTTTAGGAATTCCCAGTGCTGGAACAGAGCAGAGTCATAGGCTCCTTTCCCTCAGCGCCCTGCCCGGGGCACTCTGAAGTGCAGATATCAAATCTAAGGACCATACACAAAGGTAAAATACCCAAACCCTTTTAATACATCTTGAGCTTGTACTTGGAGCTGATAAAGCAGTTGCCTACCTGGTCTGAAGCACAAGTCCTTTCTGGGATGTGGAGGATGAAGGTGTTCCCTTGTGCTCAGCCTGACCCGCCATCTGAGGAGCACCAGCAGCTCCCAGCATCTTCTGCTGAGACCAAACTGAGGATGCTTTGGTGTAGGACCAAGCATTAGGCAATCCCAAGAGCACAGGTGGATCTGGAAGAGCTGCTCCAGCAGTGCCTGGAGCATGGACCTTCTCTGCAGGCAAGTGTGAAAGCAGTGATGCCTTGTGCATCTGCCCATACAGCTTTCAGGGAGATGTTACAGAGGCTAAACTCCCAAGAGGAGGAAATTCCTGCAAGCTGATGAAGACCAGGGTCTGAAGAGAGGAGAAAGAACTGCTTCTACTAAGAACAGGCAGGAAAATGATGCTGCTCCTCTCTCCAAGAACAAGAGGCCAGCAACACACGAGTACCAGCACCAGGCTCATCCCAAACCTCTCCAGCACTTGGTGTCATGAGCAACACACAAGAGGAGGTGACAAGGACCTTGGTGAGACTGGAGACATCGATGTGCTTAGGATACATGGAATGGAAAGCTCTGGAACCACTTTTTTTTTTAACATTTGCAAAAGATAAATACCAATCAACCAAGTGCGTCACAACTACACAACAAAATGGGAAGCAGAGACATGGGTGGATTTTCAGACAACTGGGAAATCATAATGGCAAAATGTATGTCAGAGAATTCAATTGAAAAATAAATATATTGTTATTTTTAATTTGCAATCTACAGAAGTATATAAACCTATATATTCTTAAATATTAAAAATGCCTAGAAATATCATTGTCATATCAGTATAGCAGGAAGTTTGTATGTATTGAGGTTGGATTCATAATTAATTTCATAAGATATTCTAACATTTCTAGATTAAAATGCCTCTTTTACCTGTAGTGCCACTAGTAAAACACACAATTGACAGATCTTCTGGTCGAGGAGGCTAGAAATACAAAAGGAGATTAAGAAAATCACATCAGTCAAATGCAGATGTGTCAGTGGTAGAGACTGTTGACATTGTAGAAACCTAAAGATCAAACCAATTATGTTTTTGCTCTGACAAGAGAAAAAAAAAGGTATAATTCCCCTCAGCATATATAACCAGGTTTCTTCAGCTGATGCAGGCTCTATTCCTCCCTTTATGCTGTCCTCCAGCTGCACCAAGAGCATGCCTTAGTGTTTGTCTCACAGTTAGCATTTTCCAATCCACCACCTGTATCTTTAGACACGTGGGACAGCTTGAGATAATTCATCGATTTCCAGGTCAATTCTGCAAACAACTCCACAACAGGGGACAAGATTCCAAAGCTGCTGATTGTTCCCATTTCCAGCAGCATCTCTGTATTCTCAGCACCGCCCCATACGTGCACTATTTTGGGTCATTAATGATTAAATAAACAGCTTGAATATCAGAAGCTGTTTTTCAGAGTTTTGTATGAATATGAGCAGCCAGTGAAAAATATCAAAGCAATTTTCCCAAAATATCCCATATAAATACTGCCAAGTAGTGCTTCTGAACTATACAAACCCCAGCAGAAAGTGAAGGGCACAGAGACATTCCAGTGCCACCACGGTAAAACAGTGGAATTAGGATAGCTTAACAATGGCATTTAATTACTGTCCCATTAACACATTCATAGCAGGATGAGCTATCTCAATTAAGTGTTCCAGGTAGAGGGAATAAAGGAAATACTGCACATTGTTCCCTATGGGGGTGGTGAAGCTCTGGCACAGGCTGCCCAGGGAAGGTGTGGCTGTCCCATTCCTGAAAATGTTCAAGGCCAGATTGGACAGGACTTGGAGCAAGCAAGCACCCATTGAAGGTGTCTCAGAATATGGCAGGGGGGTGGAACAAGAGCTTTAAGGTCCCTCCTGTGCAGTTGTAAGTGGGAAAAGCAACAAGCCAACACTCACCACAGGCACATGTCGATTCTCACGGCCACAGTCCTGGAAAAGATGAAAGCAACAAAAGTGATTTCCACCTTAATTCCTGCAGTGTAACCCATTTGCTAATAATCTGCAAACCACTAAGGGAGAGTGTGAGCTAAAGCAGACAAATTCCTAGGTGGCACTGAGGCCATCTTCATTATCCTGAGTTTCTTGCCTCAACTGCAGTGCCTTCCTTGGATTTCAGGTGGTGTTTGGGTTGGTTGAGCTGCATCCAGGGTGTTTCAAACAAGTGTGAGGCTGTAGGCTTACATGTAGTGTGGGTGAGGGTCCATAGTGACACAGAGTCCCCAGGCAGGTACAAAGGAGAGCTGCTTTATTGCAAAAACCAGGCCTTTTTAAGGAGTTTGCCCATCATCAGTTACATAGTTTTAAAGCATAACAAACATAATTCAACCAACCACCCTACAGCACAATGTGAACACGTAATTTTTATAACTTGTGAATACACAAGTTATATAACTTGTTTTCCTACCCCTATTTCAGCTGAGTCTCTTTCCCACAGTCCTTTTCTGCTTAGCTAAAGTAACTGAGCCATGACTTTACAAGGCCTTCCTTTTGTAAAGTTTTACTTATTGGTAACATTGCATGAGGACAATGTCTCAAATAACAACCCCCTTCCCATGCTTAAATAGCAGCTGATAGCATACTTGAGGATCAAGAATTGAGATGTTGGCTCTGCTATCAACAAGGAATAACACCAAGAGGCAAGTGCACCAAGCATCAGCATTATCAGCCACAAGCTGCTCTTTTGTGCTCTCCAGACACTGAACTTGGCACACAACTCACAAGTCCTTGTGCATGGTAGTGTCTTTTTACAGATATTACAAAAAATAGTAAAAGGGGAGAGAGAGCAAACTCACCTCGACCTCCTGCATGGTCTGGATGCGAACCCCACAGCTCTTCCCTCTCTCTGTCAGCTCCTTCTCAAACGGGTCCATCAGGATGATAGACCTCAGGCCTGGTGTTTCTTTCCTCTCCACATGGTCAAGGAGTATCTTGGCTTTTTCAGGCTTGTCACAAATGACTGTGGAAATGTCAGCTGCAAGAAAAACAGCCAAACAAGCTGTTTGCAGTAAATCTTCTTTAATGCAAGACTGGCTCATAGCTAACACTATATCAGTTCTGATAGTCACTCCAGGATAAGCCAGAAATCCCAGCATAAAACACATGCTTCTCTTGAAAAATGAGGAAAAAATGCAGTCTTAGGTAACCTAAGTCAATGACAAAGCTGTGGCTGACATTTATGATTATTCTGGGAGTCAGTTCAAAATACTAAAATTGGTCCCCACATGCATTAAAAAATCTAGGAGGCAAAATATCAAGCAACACAGGAGTGGGTGGACACATTCCCACATCCAGAGCAGCCCTTATCTATGGCTATGCACAACTGGGCATGTGGAAAATGCAACAGAGGCAGCACAGGGACACATAGCTTCTCAGGAACCTCTCTAAGTGAATTTAAGACACTCAACAAGTAAAATCACAATGTCCCATCCCTGGAAGTGTTCATGGCCAGGCTGGGTGAGGCTTGGAGCAACCTGGTGTAGTGTGTCCCTGCCAATGAAGGGGCAGCTGGAACCAGATGAGTTTTAAGGTCCCTTCCAACCCAAACCATTCTGGAATTCTATGATCATCTGTCTTTTAGAAGCAGAAAATGAACCATTCTGAGCAACAGAACTGAGATCACATCAGTTTGGATGTTACCTGTGTTGACAATGTACCGAATGGCTCCAGGACCTAAGGTGTCATACAGGGGAACCACCACCATGGAATAGGTGTAGCAAGCCAGCTCAGAGATGATCCACTGAAGGAGAACATGGAAGCACAAAGGTGAGAAGGGGCCTCGAGAGCAGATATACCTTGAGAACAAGCTGACAGGTCAGGAACATTATTAATACAATATGAAGTTGGATATAAAATCTCACCTCTGGGCGGTTTTGAGCGAAGACGCCAATGAACTGCTTTGTGGATGGCTTGCAGCCCTGCTGCAAAAGGCCTGAACCCAGAGCTTCTGCTCTTTCAGCCACCTGGAATTTGGAGAGGAAAAAATACATAAAAAAAGAGGAACATAATGATACCAAATCAAGCCAAGATTTACAGGGAGGCTCTCAAAATATTGTATTTCCTATCTAAAAGTCCAATTTTTGTGTTATCATGAACCATCATTAGCTGGCTAGCAGTTGATGAGGTCGGCAATGCCCCATGGCTCCAGAGTGCCTCAGGGCTGCTTTCAGGAGTGGGCTGATGGCATGGAGCCAGCCCCTGAAAGTGACACACCCATGTAACACCTGGATGTGCCAGGGTGGGGACAGCAGGAGGCATCACATGCTGCATGAGCAACCCCCTGGTCTAACGTGCAGGCACCCCAATACCCCTTCTTGTGTTGGGCAGGGGAAGAGGATGCACAGTGGGTACCACATCCAGCTCACCTCCTTGTAGGACAGCCACTGGTAGGGCTGCTTGGGCTTCCTGAACCCCAGGCAGGGGCCATTCTCTGAAAGACACAAACAGTGATGATGAGTTATGGGAGGCGGTGCCAGGAGTTAACACATGGGGCCACGATGTGGGGGAGCCCTCCAGGAGTAAATCCATAGTTAATGGATTGGTTCTCACAGCAATCCCAAGCAAATTACACACACAAGTGCATCTGATGGGAGATGAGCTGCTGGGAACCCCCAAAAAGGCCTCAGTCCTCCCACTGACAGCAGCAGTTTGCCCCAAACACCCTCATTAAAAGACACTTCTCCAAAGGTCGCATGAGCATTAGTGGCTGATAAGAGCACTCATCCCACTGCCTTTTGTGCTGCCTTTTGATTTAAAAAGGTAAAAACTACTATATTTAGCCCAGCCTACTCTGGAGGAAGGTAAAACAACATGCAGCAGTGCGTGACCAGATGAAAATTTGAGAAGTTTGAATAATTTGCTAATGGTACCTACATGCAGGAATCCATTCCTCCACACACCTACTGATTCCTTCATCTAGCCCTGTCTTGTGGGGCAGAATATGTGCAGATCTTCTGGGGTTCTTTTATTGTACCAAAAATACTAATCTGACCATGACATTGTTGCATCCAAAGAAGCAGAACACCATAAACAGCAGACATGGAAATAGTTATGGAGCAGGGAAGAGTTATCATGGCTCTTTGGAGTGGGAAGTGATGTCTCAAGTGTGTGAGAGCTCTGTGACAATACCAGTGACCATGGGGTAAGAACACCTGCATGGCCTGGTCCCCACCTCTCCCAGCTTCTGCTCCTAGGCCTCCTCACCACTGTGCTCTCACCAGAGATGCTGAATCCCCTCCTGAAGACCTCGTACATGGTCCTGGCATCATCGTAGTAGTGCGTCAGCAGCTGTGGGCTGTCCCCGATCACCGAGCGGCGCGCCCCAGCCAGGCCCTGCGTGACACGAGGTGACACAAAATGACACAGCCAGCAGCACTGCCTGAGGGTGGGACATGGGGAAACCCCCACCATAAAGCAGCACACTTCCCAAATGCCAGCAAGACCTCTGTGACCACCACCTGCCCCAAGACCCACGGGGATGTGACGGGGGGGTACATTGACTTCAGCACCTCAGGGATAGGGAGAGCCCTCTGGTCACAGAGGAACACTTGACCCAGCTCACTGTCACTGAGATCATTGATATTTCCCTAGGGAATTATGGATCTGGAAGTAATGGAGTGGGAATGTGCTGGGAGAAGCAACTGCTATGGGCTCCCCAGGTCTCCAGGACTAGCACAATGAGCACTTCCACAAGGACATCCAGGCCAACATGAAAGACAGACCAAGGCAGAGCCCACCCCCCAGTGCCATGAGCTTGGCAGAGGTGTTTTAGGAGTGGACAAGTAGAGTGAGAATGAGCAAACCAGGACTGCATGGGAGCAAAAAAAAAAACAAAAACTAAAGCCCTAATCACAGGGAAAAATTATCTTGAA